GCCGTAAACAAAGGTTTGGGAACCACTCCCCCAAGAAAATGAAAACAACCCTGACTTAGAGAAGACTAATATATTAATAATTTAGTCAAAGAAGACAAACAAGAAAGAATGCCGGGCTTCAAACTTCAGAAAGGTGACAAAGTAAAAATAGAAATACCTAAACGCGACCCATATGAAAATACTATTGACTATGACAAAAATGGGAACCCGACAGGTACTCACATTCGTGTTCGTAAAATAGAAGAAAGTATACAAGAGAATATTATGAAGTTTTAGGCAAACATGGCAAAATGTACAGACTGCAAGCAGAAGAAAAAACTACTATTGCCAGACCTCGTTTCAAACTTGTCAAAGTTCAAGGTGGTATACTTTCAAAGACAGTTCCTAACAAATATAAGACAACTCTGACGAATATGCTAAAGAATGTGAACATGACGACTAAGCATTTCTATACCATGCGTAAACTGTCATGTAAGGTGGCATGTAGTCTTTACTTTGTCCCGTTGTTTGCGTATACCCGAACGCGATGTGTATGGTTTCCATCTCCCTGAGTGTTACCCCAGAAACAATTTATAAGCAAACTGAACGTCGTCTTTAACATCATATCCTTTACCTTTTTTCATTGCTGACAAATCCCAAAAATTATGCTTATGCCAACCTGCTTGAGATGTACTTAAATCTATGTAGTGACTGTGCGCAGGTAATTTTCACCTGAAATCGTTTTACTTCCCCTGTTTCCTTTGAAGAGTTTGCACAATACAAAAACCTGTCGACTATTGAGTCCAAGTTCCAAAACCAAGTACTACTTCTGGTCTGGTAGAGTTCATTGACGTATAAATAGAGCCTATAGGATATAATGTTTGAAGTATTTCGTCTTTAATGTTTGAGCTCTGTTTTGTCTGCTTTCTTCTCATATAAATCTTGAGCAGTGAATTTAATATTATGTTCATCCTTCATGACATAAACATCTTTACATCTAATGTTTCTCATCGTCGTTATGTCGTCATCCGATGTTAAACCTTGTGGAAAGTTAGGAGGTTTCCAATATAATATCCCCACGGTTTCTTCAACCGTTCCTTCAATATTTTCTATACAACAGTTGTAAAACTTGTATGTGTATGTTCCAACGTCACTTTTCCTGTTTAAGGTTTCTTGTAAGTTTGTTATATTGCAATGGTATGTGTATGTCCAACGTCACTTTTCTTGTTTAGGTTTCTTGTAAGTTTGTAATATCAGATATAGAATGTGTATGTGTTTTTTGTGATATGTTCCTTCATCGCATTTGAAAATATATTCTTTTGTTGCATCTACATATCTCACTATCCATGTCGAGTCTGTTTTGTATTCTTAACTCTGTAAACACTTTCTCAAGCTCTTTCACTGTTGTCATCTTCCATTAAAGCTCTGTCATGACTTGAAACGTTTGTGTCCAACATATCACAGTTTCTTTGTCAGTTTATTTTCAACGTCATCTTTTGTTGCATATGTTGCATCTGCTCTGTCATGTTCTTCTTGAACTTTTTTCAATGACATATGTTTTGTCGCTTTGTTGTCAACATCTGCTTTCAAAAGAAGTTCTTTTATAGGTTTCTCGTTTAAAGTTCCTTTTGTTGGATTTATACAAACAGTATGGTTCTTATTGTCTTGAACAGAAACTCATCTGTCATTGGGTTTAATGTCAGTTTTAAGTTCCTTCTTTCAATGACTCAGATATCTTAGAATAGTTTGAAAAGTTTGTTGTGTTCTTATTTAGAGCTTGTATAATGAGTTGTCGGTTGTGTTGTATTTCTCTCATAGATGCTGTTTCATTTGACATTTTTATTCAAGATAAATATGCTTTCAATAGAAAAAGAAAATTCAAGAGTTGCTACAACTAAACCATTAGATGAACTTTTTACGAATGTCGGTCAAAGTTTGAGACAGAGACCGTAAAGCATGAAGGCTATCGTTTTGACTACCCGTTAAGATGGTTAAGAGACCCATCTGTCACAAAAGCTATTGGCTTTCGTAGAATGAAGTTCATTTCAGAAGCCATACATGGTTTCCCATTTACAGTCGGTTTTGAAGTTCGATACTATAACAAAGAAAAACGTACGTATGAGAAATTTGAACAGGGAAAACTTTTACAAGTGAATTTGCTTGTAAACTTAGAAACAACTCTTCAAGCTTTTCAAGAAAAAATAAACGACATCTATATCGAATATGCAAAGCAGTATAACATTGACGAGGAGAGTACCATATCGATATTATATATGACAGGAAAAATGCAACTGTTAAAATCAATAGAATAGAAGACCTTGGAGAAAACGTTTATATTTCTACAAAATATAACAACTTGGCATGGTATGATTTCTGAGGATGTTAAATCAGCCTGCAGAATATCCAGTACACCGGACTTTTATGAAGTCGAAAAACCTAATGGAACATATAAAAATTTTCGACCCAGATGCTATTATCGTTCATGCTTCATTTTCTGGTGCACAAAATCTTTCTTATGTCTGATGAATGATTTTTACGAAAAACCTACAAAGCTATATGAACCACCAAGTGGAAGTATTTCAGACTTTCAAGTATGGTTTACAACAGATGGAAGAAAAAGAATAATTCCATTATACCATGGGTTTTACTTAGAACTTAGTTTCATATAACAACTACTATCGAACGGTAAAAATATAATTTTTTAATACGGTTGAGGTGTTGGATTTGGTTGCCAACTAGACTGTGGTGCAGGTTCAGGCTGTTGTATAACAGGAGTTGTTCTTTCTGGTTCAGGGTCTTTAGGTATAATACCAACAAACTGACCTACCCTTTTACCAAATATTTTTGACACCGTTCCAAATTCCTCTTCCGACAGATTTTATTCCATTCCATATACCTCTTCCAACTCTTCTGAAGAAGTTTCCAATACTACTGAAGAAACCCATTTTTATATGTAAAAATCTAATGTCCGCCTAGTCTCTTACGTTTCCTGTTGAGTTCCATAGCATTCTTTAACTGGAGCTCATACATTCTTATTCTCCTCTGGTAGAAAACTATTCTGGGTCAACTCCTGTGTTCGCGTCATCTGCATAAAGTTGTTTATATCCCACTTCGGGTTTGTATAAAACTCTTCCATCTCATATTTGCATACCATGGTGGCAAACCTAACGCAGCGTATTTGACATGGCAGTTTGCATTTGTAATATCTGTTGGCACTTGACCATATTTGCCATTGCAGTTTGTATTCTAACTTCATTTGGAATATTCTCTGGGTTTGGTTGTCCAGGTTGCTGTGCATTTGCTAAGTTCTGTGCGTCCATTTAATATTAGATAAAAATATCTCTTACGAGTACATATGCTGAACATTTGCAGGCATTGGTTCATCTTCATATTCTCTTGTCTCTTTCTGCCACGTCAAATAAATAAATGACACAATGGAAAAAACCTAAAACAAGTAGTCCTATTTCAAACCACATTTACTTACTAGTAAAATTTCTTTGTTATGACACTTTCTCCGGTTTATAGGACCTCTCTCATATTCTATCTTGTCATATCTAAACTCATAGTCATGTATGCTCTAACAATCTCATAACGGTTTCCAAACCACTTTTATCGGATGTAAAGTAAAAGCATGGACAGTTATGTAAAACGTCTAAAGTTTCTAAAGAGTCTTCAAAGTCCAGTCTACTTGGTATTGAAATCCCATGTGTTATAGAACGGCGGGTCCACTATAAAGAAAATATTTTCCTTGTCTTTATATTTTTCATACAACTCTGTCCAATGACATCTCACAAACTCTATACCCTCAATATATTTTTCTATGTCCTCTTTGAAAACATTTGTATAGTTAAGATATAAACTTTTGACATAAGTGTTTCAATGTCATGACTCTTATAGAACCACTATATAATAGTCTAGCAGATATACTATCCCAGTCTATATATTCTGCTTTTTTCAAAACCTCTCTCACAATATTTTTGTTATCTAATGGTATACGTTCCATCTTACCTATAGGTATCTTTTCTTTTAACTCTTTCAATATATTGTTTGTGTCTGGTATATGTTTGAGACGGTCCATATAGTTGTCGAAGTCATTGCATATAATCTTTGAGTCTGGGAATATTGTATGGCACAAATGGGATATATAGAAACTTCCACCGAACAAATCTACAAATGTTAGACCATTCGGTAGTTTCTTAAGTTCTCTCAATAGAATATCTTTACATCTACTCTTATTTCCAAAGAACGGTAACGGTGGTTTTGTAAAATTCATTTATATATAATAATAAAAATGTTTTTTCCTGAAAAGTGACAGAAAAGTGACAAAACATGAAAACATATATAATTTGTGAAAAGCGACACATTATATAATGTTTTCGACCCAGAAGAAGGCTTCTCAAAGTATACTTCCTTGGAACGCCTGTAACTTTTCCTGTAGCGACGATAGACCCTTACTTGTCCGGACAAAGTTATACTAAACATCTTCAGGGCTAGAGGGCACGAAGTGCCTGGAGGCCCCACACACCTGACCTAATATCATATCATACTCATCTATAAAATCATGTATCTTAGACAAAAATTTTCCAAATTTATGAATGATTTCAAACGAAATTCGAAATCACACATGCAAAGTTTGAGATATATGTGTTTTCACATTATGATCACTAGCAATGTTTGGATATTTGTGTCTTTTCGCTTAATATTGTTATTTCGGTTTTGACTTGAGATAAAATCTCATATTTAACAAAATTCAAAGAAAAATTGTCGGTATGCTTAATAAAGCATCACATACAATCATTGCGTTTTCTTACTGTAATCGTAATCAAATACATTTTTAATTATATAAACTTTTGAATTCAATCTTTATAAAATACAGATTGCATTCTGGATAGTTTTAATATATTAGGATACACGGTCGCCTATGAAGAATCCCATAAGATTAATAGAGAATAGAAAGAATTTTGTCACTTTTAATTTTTAACGAGCACAATTTTCAATCAAGTTGTCACTTTTATATTTTTATGCTATCATTTTCTCCACTTCCAAAATGGCCTCCTCTAAATTTAGAATCACAAATATTTGCTGTTCGTGCCGCAAGTGATAATTCATATATTGCTGCGTCATTATCAAATGGACAGATTGCTTTGATTAGTGGAACAACTGGAAGGCTTTCGTTTACATTAAATACATCTCAAGAATCATTCCCATCAACATCTTTAAGATTTCATCCTAAAAATCCTCGCGCAATACTCACGGTTTCATCTGAAGGAACAATTAGCGAATTTTCTACAAAAACTTCACAGGCAAAATGCACTTGGTCAACCACAGAGAAGGATAATCAGATATTTTCTCTTGATGTCAGTCCTGATGGTGATAAATTTGCCACGGCAGGACTAGATAAATCGATTCGAATTTACGATTACGAAACTCAAAAAATACTAGCTACGTTATCGAAATCTCAGTACAATGCGGACTCCAGAGGCCACACAAACAGAATATTTTCATTAATTTTTGATCCAACTGATTCAAATATTCTAGTTAGTGGCGGATGGGATGACACAATACAATTCTGGGATCTCCGCATTAAATCCTCCGTTAGATCTCTCTTTGGTCCTCATATTTGTTCGGATAGTATTGATATTCACGGAAATAACTTAATTGCTGGTAGCTGGAGGACTCTCGATCAGTTACAGCTATTCGATACGAGAACATTTACGATGACTGCGAATATTAAATGGAATAAAGTTCCATCCGAGCATAGTGCGCTTATTTATACGGTTAAATTCCATCCGAGTGGTGAATTTTTCGTTGCTGGTGGTTCTGGAGAGACTTCTGTTCGCGCATTTTCAATAAAATCTTTCTCTCAAGTTGGAAAGCCAGCTAACTTTAATTCGCCGATATATTCTGTCGCATTCAATAACAATGCTGATTCTATTTTCATTGGAACTCAAAATGGAGAAATTCACAATTATGGTATTCAATTTACCAGAAACTGATATTTCAATAACAAATTGAAGCATTTTATCCATATTTGTGGTTCTGTTTTGTTCTTTATTCTACATTTTCTTTATTTTTTTTAATAATTGTATTTGAACTGATGAAATATGTAGAAACCTTATATAATGTTCTTTAAAAGTACTTTCTTATAACTAGTTTTGCAATTTTTTCTAAAATTAAAAATATAAAACTTAATCATTTTTCTTTAATGGAATGAAATCACTCCTCTCTGACTTTGATCGAAGAACTTAATGGGAAAATTTATCCATTTTTGGTATTAAGAAAAAAAAATCTCATTTTCATTCAATCATATCTAATTACAAGCAAAATATGAATAGGAAATAAGCATCTTTTACGAAATCATCAAAATTAATTTTTTTTTTTTTTTTTTTTTTTTTTTTTTTTTTTTTTTTTTTTTTAATTTTTTTTTTATAAAGGTAGTTTTACGAAATGATATCTTTATTAAATTATAAAGATATAGAAACTGGTCTTAAGCATTGAAATTTATTATAGAATGTGACTGTTTCTTGATAGTAACCGTTATGAAATTGATTTTTCCATATTTGAAACAGATATCTTAAAATACAAATCATTAGGATTATTAAAGTGGACAATTCTGGAGAAAAAGTACAAGAAAAAAAATCCCCAAGGTAATAATTAATCAGAAACAATATCCTTGAGATACACGTCATATAAATGATTCCAAGGTAATTATAAGTCAGAAACAATCTCCTTGAGATACAGTTCATATAAATTAAAGTAAATAAAGATTCTTTTTTTAATTTTACTGAAAAAAATTCTAAATAAAAATCTTATTTTTATTCAAAATCAGGAATAAATATAACAGGAGGAGAAGGTGGTGGCGGTGGTCTTGTTGACCATACAGTCTTACGCATTTTTTCATTATCACTCTTTACCATTGTATCGAGAATTTTCGCTCTTTTCTGCACGTCTTGGTTTTCATCAGAAAGACACATATCGAGCAGACGACGTCCGCCATTTTCGCCTCCGATATCAACCATTCTTGCCGCTAGAAGTGCTCCTTCTGTTTTAACTTCACGAGGAAGTTCGTTGTACTTTTCTGTCAAAATTTTAATCATTGCATCACCTAATTCTTTGTTTTCCCTGCAAGTATCAGAGAAAACAGCAACAACTGGAGCACGCGGACCATCCAGTTCGAGAAGTGATGCAAGAAGAGCTTCTCCTGCCTCTGTTTTAGCAAGTATTGAAGCGTAATGAGAAGCAATTTCAGCTACAGCTCTATTTCCGCGTTCAAGGAGTTCTTTGATTGCTTCTGAGAAGTTATTCTGGCCTAGGTAATGAGCTGCGAAGGAATTTCCGCAGTTAAGAGCCCATCTTAATAAAATATCTGGAGAACACTTTGGCCCGAGGTGTCCTAATATCTGTACTGCAAGATGCTCTGCATGCTCGCATTGTTGAGGAGGAAGGAAGTGGCTTGCGTAAGGAATTAGCAAATCTGGGAATTTTTCCGCAATTTTTTCTAAAGCAACAAAAGCGTGAACGGAAATAACAGGTGGAGAATATAAAAGACGTATTAATGGCTGTATAGCAACTTCTGGCTCGTCCATAAAGTATTGTGCTGCTTCAATTACAACTGAAGCGTTTTGGCTATGTAAAAGAACTGACACTACGCTACGTGTAGACTTTTGAGATGATCGTAAGTGATGTAATGCACGAGATTGAGTCCATGGATCTAAAGCAAGCATAATTGGCCAAATTTTATCGGCTGCTGCTACAATAAGTTGTACTTCATTGATAATCTCACATGCAAATATAGCACCTGAGATAACTATTGTATCTGCTGATCCAAGAGCGGATTGTAGCTGACGTTTAACTGCAGGTCTTTTTTGTTCGCATAGTTTAACTAATTTGGCTGATCCGATAAGAGTTGCTTTTCTAACATATTGACTATCATCGGACATTCCAATTTGAAGTAATTTATCTATAATTTGAACAAGATCTGGATGATTTAAACTTGTAAGTGTCTTGACAGCACGCAATCTGCGTGATTCTCGTGGTGATTTCATTGCTGTGTATAAAGAATTTACTGCTTGCAAGCAGGCATCGCTATCTGATGAAGAAAGTTGTATCATTAGCATTTGCGCCAATATTTCGACTTCATCGCGCTCATTTACAACATGTTGTGCTACTAACGGAGCAAATTGAGATAAATTATACCCGCGAGACATTAATCCGCAGAGAAGTCTGAGTGATACTTCAATAGAGGCATCATCTCGTGACGAAAGACATTCCCTAATACTTGAATAGTACTGTGAAATCACGTCATTCGCTTTACTTCCCACCGACATTTTTGACAATTTCGAAATCAATCAAATTTGACATTGATTTGGCAAATTGTCAAAATAGTTGAGGAATGAAGGAATTCACAGACTTTTTCCAAACAATGGACTGATCAGTAAAAAATAGTCTTTGAATTATTTAATGTAAAGCATATTTCAATGGTAATAAATATATTTAATCAAGTTTTACCTAAAAATTATTGAAATAATAATCAATTTCATGCTAGTTTTTAAGTACATTGGGATTAATACATGGAAAGCATGTTGGTTCTGGCGGAAGCTCGGGAATTGCATATTCTTTATCGTATCTCTTTTTGAAGTTCAGCCTGTTGATTATCAACTTTCTAAATTCTGATAGGCTTTGTGTTGTATAATCAGTTTGAATTGATTTATTAAGAATTAAGCTGATACATGTATAAAATAAATCTAATATTTCTGGTGCTGCAGTAAATGTGAGCATGTCCTTATCTTCGAACTTCAAAGTAATGAATTTTGTCTTTTTATCATCTGCTTCTTCCATTTCAATTTCTTTGATTTCCTTTTTCATAGAATAATGATCCTCTTTTATATCAAGCATACGCCAATTAGCTTCCTGAAGCGCAATTTTAATCGGTATGGCTTTTTTCCAATTTGCTGATTTATTTCCATTTCTTAAATGGCGAATTTCAATATCCTGCATGCAAGAAGATATTATAAATCTTTGAAAGTAAAAATGTGGATCCATTCCTGCCTTATCATAATTGGATCGATTGCTTCCACTCATCCTAAATTAAAAATGATTTTACCTTGTGATTGAATTCAATTTATTTATTCCAAATGGAGTTTTTGATCATGGGAATATATTTTAGGAGTTAAATAATTGATTATGAGCAAATGACGAAATTATTTTTGATTGAAATATGTGTTCATGAAGTATATCTGGAATTTTTTGCAAAACAGCATCCCTGATGTGTAACCTAAGACTGCGAAATCAAATTTATTTTTGATTCATGAAATTTCTTAACTATTGATTATGGACTCGTGTATTTCACTAAACTCAGTACACTTTATTTAAAAGGAATGATACACTAAATACTCGTCTCCAAATTTATTTTGAATTACATCTTCAATTATTTCAATCGAATTCAATTCATTCAAATTTTAATTCAATTGAACAAATATATCTTATGTAAGGTTTTTATTGGTATTTATTAAGTAATTAAATTCAATGTAAAGCTTTCAATTTTAACAAGGTTTCTTCATACTTCCAAGTCCATCAATTTTTGATATTTTTAAATTGAATTTTAAATAACAATAACAAAACTCTTCATTAAAAAAAAAAAAAAAAAAAAAAGGAAGTGGGGCTTCCAGGCACTTCGTGCCCTCTAGCCCTGAAGATGTTTAGTATAACTTTGTCCGGACAAGTAAGGGTCTATCGTCGCTACAGGAAAAGTTACAGGCGTTCCAAGGAAGTATACTTTGAGAAGCCTTCTTCTGGGTCGAAAACATTATATAATGTGTCGCTTTTCACAAATTATATATGTTTTCATGTTTTGTCACTTTTCTGTCACTTTTCAGGAAAAAACATTTTTATTATTATATATAAATGAATTTTACAAAACCACCGTTACCGTTCTTTGGAAATAAGAGTAGATGTAAAGATATTCTATTGAGAGAACTTAAGAAACTACCGAATGGTCTAACATTTGTAGATTTGTTCGGTGGAAGTTTCTATATATCCCATTTGTGCCATACAATATTCCCAGACTCAAAGATTATATGCAATGACTTCGACAACTATATGGACCGTCTCAAACATACTCCAGACACAAACAATATATTGAAAGAGTTAAAAGAAAAGATACCTATAGGTAAGATGGAACGTATACCATTAGATAACAAAAATATTGTGAGAGAGGTTTTGAAAAAAGCAGAATATATAGACTGGGATAGTATATCTGCTAGACTATTATATAGTGGTTCTATAAGAGTTCATGACATTGAAACACTTATGTCAAAAGTTTTATATCTTAACTATACAAATGTTTTCAAAGAGGACATAGAAAAATATATTGAGGGTATAGAGTTTGTGAGATGTCATTGGACAGAGTTGTATGAAAAATATAAAGACAAGGAAAATGTTTTCTTTATAGTGGACCCGCCGTTCTATAACACATGGGATTTTCAATACCAAGTAGACTGGACTTTGAGAGACTCTTTAGAAACTTTAGACGTTTTACATAACTGTCCATGCTTTTACTTTACATCCGATAAAAGTGGTTTGGAAACCGTTATGAGATGGTTAGAGGACATACATGACTATGAGTTTAGATATGACAAGATAGAATATGAGAGAGGTCCTATAAACTGGAGAAAGTGTCATAACAAAGAAATTTTACTAGTAAGTAAATGTGGTTTGAAATAGGACTACTTGTTTTAGGTTTTTTCCATTGTGTCATTTATTTATTTGACGTGGCAGAAAAGTACAGAGAATATGAAGATGAACCAATGCCTGCAAATGTTCAGCATATGTACTCGTAAGAGATATTTTTATCTAATATTAAATGGACGCACAGAACTTAGCGAATGCACAGCAACCTGGACAACCAAACCCAGAGAATATTCCAAATGAAGTTAGAATACAAACTGCAATGGCAAACTATGGTCAAGTGCCAACAGATGTACAAATGCAAACTGCCATGTCAAATGACGCTGCGTTAGGTTTGCCACCATGGTATGCAAATATGAGATGGAAAGAGTTTTATACAAACCCCGAAGTGGGATATAAACAACTTTATGCAGATGACGCGAACACAGGAGTTGACCCAGAATATGTTTTCTACCAGAGGAGAAATAGAATGTATGAGCTCCAGTTAAAGAATGCTATGGAACTCAACAGGAAACGTAAGAGACTAGGCGGACATTAGATTTTTACATATAGTAAAATGGGTTTCTTCAGTAGTATTGGAAACTTCTTCAGAAGAGTTGGAAGAGGTATATGGAATGGAATAAAATCTGTCGGAAGAGGAATTTGGAACGGTGTCAAAAATATTGGTAAAAGGGTAGGTCAGTTTGTTGGTATTATACCTAAAGACCCTGAACCAGAAGAACAAGCTCCTGTTATACAACAGCCTGAACCTGCACCACAGTCTAGTTGGCAACCAAATCCAACACCTCAACCGTATTAAAAAATTATATTTTTACCGTTCGATAGTAGTTGTATATGAAACTAAGTTCTAAGTAAAACGCATGGTATAATGGAATTATTCTTTTTCTTCCATCTGTTGTAAACCATACTTGAAAGTCTGAAATACTTCCACTTGGTGGTTCATATAGCTTTGTAGGTTTTTCGTAAAAGTCATTCATCAGACATAAGAAAGAGTTTTGTGCACCAGAAAATGAAGCATGAACGATAATAGCATCTGGGTCGAAAACATTTTCATATGTTCCATTAGGGTTTTCGACTTCATAAAAGTCCGGGTGTACTGGATATTCTGCAGGCTGATTTAACATCCTCAGAAATCTATACCATGCCAAGTTGTTATATTTTGTAGAAATATAAACGTTTTCTCCAAGGTCTTCTATTCTATTGATTTTAACAGTTGCATTTTTCCTGTCATATATAATATCGAGATGGTACTCTCCTTCGTCAATGTTATACTGCTTTGCATATTCGATATAGATGTCGTTTATTTTTTCTTGAAAAGCTTGAAGAGTTGTTTCTAAGTTTACAAGCAAATTCACTTGTAAAAGTTTTCCCTGTTCAAATTTCTCATACGTACGTTTTTCTTTGTTATAGTATCGAACTTCAAAACCGACTGTAAATGGGAAACCATGTATGGCTTCTGAAATGAACTTCATTCTACGAAAGCCAATAGCTTTTGTGACAGATGGGTCTCTTAACCATCTTAACGGGTAGTCAAAACGATAGCCTTCATGCTTTACGGTCTCTGTCTCAAACTTTTGACCGACATTCGTAAAAAGTTCATCTAATGGTTTAGTTGTAGCAACTCTTGAATTTTCTTTTTCTATTGAAAGCATATTTTATCTAGAATAAAAATGTCAAATGAAACAGCGTCTATGAGAGAAATACAACACAACCGACAACTCATTATACAAGCTCTAAATAAGAACACAACAAACTTTTCAAACTATTCTAAGATATCTGAGTCATTGAAAGAAGGAAACTTAAAACTGACATTAAACCCAATGACAGATGAGTTTCTGTTTCAAGACAATAAGAACCATACTGTTTGTATAAATCCAACAAAAGGAACTTTAAACGAGAAACCTATAAATGAACTTCTTTTGAAAGCAGATGTTGACAACAAAGCTGACAAAACATATGTAGACGATGCAATAGCAAAAGAAGAAGAAAGAGCTAACAAAGCTTATGCAACAAAAGAACATACTCATCCTGAACTAGCAGACAAAACATATGTTGACAATAAAATGTCAAGTGAAGTGACAAGAGCTGAAAACGAATATTCTAAAAAGACTCATACACATTCTATATCTGAAATAACAAACTTACAAGAAACCTTAAACATGAAAAGTGCCGTTGGACATACACATTCTATATCTGAAATAACAGACTTAAACGTTAGCCTTGAAAAGAAAGCAGATAATGGATGGGTGGCTAGTAAGTTAGAGAAGAAAGCAGATAAGGAATATGTGGATGAAAAAGATAACGAAAATAAAGAAAGGGTTGACTGGTACCATGAATGGACATCGAAGATTTTAAAAAGTAAAGCCGATACAGGATGGGTTTCAGGATGTTTAGACCTTAAAGCGGATAAAACATATGTTAACGATGAGTTAGAGAAGAAAGCAGACAAGAACCATACACATACAAGTTTTACAACTGTTGGTATAGAAAGTATTGAAGGAACGGTTGAAGAAACTGGTGGGGATGCATTATATTGTAAACCTCCTAACTTTCCACAAGGTTTAACATCGGATGACGACATAACGACGATGAGAAACATTAGATGTAAAGATGTTTATGTCATGAAGGATGAACATAATATTAAATTCACTGCTCAAGATTTATATGACAAGAAAGCAGACAAAACAGAGCTTCAAACATTAAAGACAGAAATACTTCAAACATTATATCCTATAGGCTCTATTTATACGTCAATGAACTCTACCAGACCAGAAGTAGTACTTGGTTTTGGAACTTGGACTCAAATAGTCGACAGGTTTTTGTATTGTGCAAACTCTTCAAAGGAAACAGGTGGAAGTAAAACGATTTCAGGTGAAAACTTACCTGCACATAGTCACTACATAGATTTAAGTACATCTCAAGCAGGTTGGCATAAGCATAATTTTTGGGATTGGTCAGCAATGAAAAAAGGTAAAGGATATGATGTTAAAGACGACGTTCAGTTTGCTATAAATTGTTTCTGGGGTAACACTCAGGGAGATGGAAACCATACACATCGCGTTTCGGGATATACGCAAACAACGGGACAAAGTAAAGACTACATGCCACCTTACATGACAGTTTACGCATGGTATAGAATTGCTTAGTCGTCATGTTCCACTTCTTTAGCATATTCGTCAGGAGTTGTCTTATATTTGTTAGGAACTGTCTTTGAAAGTATACCACCTTGAACTTTGACAAGTTTGAAACGAGGTCTGGCAATAGTAGTTTTATCTTCTGCTTGCAGTCTGTACATTTTGCCATGTTTGCCTAAAACTTCATAATATTCTCTTGTATACTTTCTTCTATTTTTACGAACACGAATGTGAGTACCTGTCGGGTTCCCATTGTTGTCATAGTCAATAGTATTTTCATATGGGTCGCGTTTAGGTATTTCTATTTTACTTTGTCACCTTTCTGAAGTTTGAAGCCCGGCATTCTTTCTTGTTTGTCTCTTTTGACTAAATTATTAAATATATAGTCTTTCTCTAAGTCAGGGTTGTTTTTCATTTCTTCGGGGAGTGGTTTCCCAAACCTTTTTGTTTACGGCTATTGTAAATATTTAAAACTTGTCTCATCTTTGCCATGGAGAAGTGTCTATATTTGTCGTCATATGACATTTCATTTGCTTCACCACCTTGTGGTTGGTTTAAGTCTCTTAACATTTTTATACAACCGTCAATGACACCAAGAGCAGAATGGTTTTGGTCGACAATGAAATATTGGTTTACATTTTTTGAACGCAGATAGTTTTTTACATCGTCTGATTTGAAAGAACTTTCACAGTCAGATGTCAGTTTTGTTGGATGGTATTTGTCAACGAATATTGTCAAAGCTGCTAAGATATCTAAAATATTTTTGGACTGTAATGGTATGGCTTCACAGTATCTTGTGTTTTGACCGACAAATATTAGCCAGTATGGTGGTCCATCTTCTCTATACCTCGGAATGTTTTCCAAGATATCCATAAACCAAGCATTTGGTGTTGAACTAAAGATTTTTACCATGAGTGCTTTCTTTGTCGCTTTAGAAACATAGGGGTCCTTGTTTGGATTCGTCATTTTTTAACCCATAAGAAATGGGTTTATTTGGCGCGTTAGCAGGAGTTGCATCCAGATTTTTGCCCGCAGTGGGAACCATAGCCAGAGGTGTATTTGGAGTTGGAAGGAAGATTTTGAGTACATTAGGTATACTTAAAGAGAAAGCACAACCTATTATACAAACTGTACAGAAAGGTTGGATGTAGCACGAGATGCAACAAATCTTATTCCAAATCCTGAAACAAGAGGAAAAGTTCAAGGATGGATGGACAATGTAGGAAGACAAGCAGGAAACTATTATAACAAAGCAAATGACTACTATAACCAAGCAGGGACACTATATGGACCAAGGTGAAAGATTCTTTAACAGAGGATATAACCATGCACAACAGTGGGTAAACAATAACCAACCGCAACCACCTCAAACTTGGGGAATGTAAAGTTTTTTACTGAGATGAAATGAACAATACAGCATTGAGACAAATGGGTTCAAGATGGATTTGTCGGCTTCCAGCAGTTACACAACGTGTTTGTCAAGTTCTTCCTATACCTCAGGAAGTTTTAGACCGACTTAAAAAACAACAACAACCAGTTGAAAACAAACCAAACTAAAATTTTTTACTGAGATGAAATGACCGAAGAAGTTGAAACGGTAGATTTGACACCACAAACAAAAAGTTCAGAACCATTGTCAAAACCTGTCAAAGAACTTACAGATGAAGAGAAAAATTCAATAATAGAAAGTGCCAGGTCTGGAAATACAAACCCTAACTACAAAGTCACTTTTCATAAAAATGGAACGGCTAGTATCTCAAAAAAGAAACAGACTCTCACAAATAAAATATTGAAGTCTGAAGGAGCTTCGAGACAACAGATGGAAAAGTTTACTTCACTGACCAACAGTTCATTATAGAACATCTCATTGACTTAGAGTCGAAATATTCTAAACTTTACAACAAACACAAAAAGTTGAAAGGAAAACAAAAACAAATGGCATATGATATTTATGAAGATGTTGACGACACAACTGTTCCTGCAAGTGAGGTAAAGTCAAAGGAACCGAAAAGTGACGAAAAACCGATAGAAGAAGAAAAACCAAAAACTGAAGATAAACCAAAACCAAAGTTTAGTTTGGAAACTAAACCAAGTCAACCTTCATTAGCTGGTATGGGTTGGCGTCAAAGACTTATGGCAGCAGGCGGTTATGTTAAGTAAAGAGAAAAAAAAATATTTTTTTTATTTTTATAAAAAATGCCCCCATATAGAATGGATAGAAAATCTGCTAGAATAAAAGCAGAGTTGCAAAGTTATGGTTGGAGAGTTTCGAAGAAGTTTAAATATAGGAAGGAAGACCCATAAAAGTCTATGACAAATTGTCTGGTCTTCGCTACGAAATGGATTTGGAAACAGCACGTGCAAATTATCCAAACAGACTAGAGAGGTTAGAAGAAGAACGTCTTATGGACATGCCTTTCGATGTTAGTGAACCTCAAGTTGAAGGACACGACGGCTTTGCCAGATTCTACTGGAAACATGACGAACAATTGCATCCTTTGAGAAGGAAAAAGGAAAAGGTGAAGACACACATGCTCCCATGGAAAGAACAAGATATGCATATGAGAAGTACCGTGAAGTTAGAAGTCAAATTACATCTGTCGAACCTTTACAGTAAACTTTGACGAAGGAAAGAACAAAGAAGGCTTCATGGGTGTACTTGCTGCCATACAAGACGGAAATAAGAAAGGACACAATCTCAGATTGACTATAACAGATTTGGATGGTCACATTTACTATGCACATGGCAATGAACAAACAGCCGCAAAACTTCTTGACGCTTTCAAGACTACAAAGAGAGAACAAATGTTTGACTCCGACTCAGACATTTTGAATGCAATTGAAAATTGCAAGTGTTCAAGTTCCGTTCGATGGTACCAACCTAACCCTCAAGCAGTCAGACAACATGTTTGTTAGATGAGAAATATGAAGTAAAAACGTTTTTTAAAACCATATATTTTTACATATATTAAATGCTTCAGGTTGAAAAACAAAGAACAAAAGTAGCAGATACAAAACCGTTAGACTATATCTTTACAAATGCTGGTAGGACTATTTCAGATGAAGAAATTTCATCCCGAGCTTACAGGTTTGACTATCCAATTCGTTGGCTTCAAAGTCCTTCAGATGCAAAGGCAATAGGATTTAGAAGAGTTTTGTTTTCAAATAGAACTAACGCGTTTATGTTCGCAGTATATTTTCATGGGCAGTATAAAGGTTCTGATGGTCTAATAGACAAATTTGATGAAATGAGGATCTTTACAGTTCGTTCAGACGAAAGTCTTGAGAAAACTCTAAATGACTTTCAAACTCAAATGAACAAATACTATTGGGAATTTCAAGAAAAATACGACTCTTTACTAAATGGAACATACTATCTGAAACTAGAATATGACAAGATGAACTCCACCGTTTCATTTCAAAAGATTGAAATTAACCCTCCAAGAGATACAGAGTTTTTATTTTGGAAAGTAGACAAACGTTCTTGGGCACAATTTTCTTCGGTTACTAAACCAGAACGAACCATTACCACCAGATGGTCCATTTAAATTTATACTTCCACCAGCAGATTTGACAGTTTATAGAAACGTGTTTGACCCTCAAAATGTTATGTGCCATGCAAGTTTCAGTTCAAGCAACAATAGTTTTCTATGTATTGGTAAGGACGTTTATGACTTTGCTTCTAAATTCTACGAACCACCTAGTAACAGTTTCTCTGACTTTCAAGTTTGGTTCACAACAAATGGTGTGCAGCATATTATACCATTGTACTATGACTTTTATCTCGAATTGTCTTTCATATACAACTACGGAAAAGTGCTGAAAAAGTATTGAAAAATATATTTTAGGTGAAGAGGTTAGATCTCACCTCTTTTCTCACCTGTTTTTTCACCCTCTTGAATTTTCATGAATTTCCTTAAGATAGAAAAAAAGTGAGTTAAAATGAGATGTTTACTGAAGGGGTCCCTCGGTCCCTCGGTCCCTCGGTCAACTAACATCTTTTTGAAAATGGTGACAACATGACATTTTGACAACAGTCGGGAAAATGTCAAGACTTCTTCATCGTAACGAGTGTAAATGAACCAAAAATATATTTTAGGTGAAGAGGTGAGATCTCACCTGTTTTCTCACCTCTTTTCTAACCTCTTGAATTTTCATGAATTTTCCCGAAATAAAAAATAAAGTTAGTTTTTTTAAAAAAATATTTTTTATTTTGTATGTAAGAACAGTAATGTCAGTCGAAGCAAAAACGTTCACGAACAAATCTAATGGCGAAACATTCACAAAAGGCACTTACAACGGTATTGAAGTCTTACGTAGAGACAAGGATGGTTATATAAATGTAACAAATATGTGTCAGCAGTTTAGGAAAGACTTTAGAAAGTTGTTGGAAAATAAGTCCTGGGAAGAGTATTATAAGGCATTTTGTGAAGAATATAGCAACCGCCGGAATTCCGGCGGTTGGTTTTTATACAAAATTCATGCAGGAATTCCTGATGAAATCAAACAGGTTAGAGGAACGTATGTAGACCCAAGACTTATAAACTATATAGCAATGTGGGCTTCTCCAAAATATTGCATAGCAGTTGGAAAAATTATGGACTCCATAGACAAGAAAGTTCATGAGAAATTAGATGAAGAAGAACTTGAAGATACAGTAGAGAATGCTAAACCTTTGTTCGAACAAGAAGTTAGAAAAATGTGCGAAAAACAATTTGAACATGAACGTGAGATATGTTATGGTTATAGAGATTCTCCATACGAACTAGACCAATGGGAACAAGAAGATTTAAAGAGAGAATTTAGAGAATATGAACTCGCTAAGATAGCATTAGAAGCTGCAGAAAAGAAGTTAAAAGTTTGGGGTCGTTTTGTAAAAAAATATTGTGAGTAAATGAACCATTTATTTTTATTGAATTCGGCAAAAATATATTTTAGGTGAAGTGGTGAGATCTAACCTGTTTTCTAACCTCTTTTCTAACATCGTAGAAAACTCATGAAATTTACACCAAAAATATATTTTATGTTAGCATGTTAGATCTAACCTCATTTCTAACCTCATTTCTAACATCGTAGAAAACTCTTGAAATTTACACCAAAAATATATTTTAGGGTAGAAGGTTAGATCTAACCTGTTTTCTAACCTGTTTTCTACCCTCTTGAAATTTCATGAATTTCCTTAAGATAGAAAAAGTATTGAAAAATAAAGTTTATGTTAGCATGTTAGATCTAACACGTTTTCTAACATTTTTTCTAACATCGTAGAAAACTCTTGAAATTTCATGAATGGCTCGATGTTGTCCATTGTTCTGTTTCAGAACTAGTCTTGTACTGTTTCAGAACAATATTTGTACTGTTTCAGAACAATATTTGTACTGTTTCAGAACAATACTTGTTCTGTTTCAGAACAATATTTCCCGTCAAAGCTCTCAATTTGTGAGAAAAATTTTCTGTTTCAGAACAATATTTGTTCTGATTCAGAACAATATTTGTACTGTTTCAGCAGAACAATATTTGTACTGTTTCAGAACAATATTTGTACTGTTTCAGAACAATATTTGTACTGTTTCAGAACAATATTTGTACTGTTTCAGAACAATATTTGTACTGTTTCAGAACAATATTTGTACTGTTTCAGAACAATATTTGTACTGTTTCAGAACAATGTCCGACGTACCACCAAAAAATATATTTTATGTTAGCATGTTAGATCTAACACGTTTTCTAACCTCATTTCTAACATCGTAGAAAACTCTTGAAATTTCATGAGTTTTGACACTTTCACAAAAAACATAAAAAATAAAGTTAGTTTTTTTAAAAAAATATTTTTTATTTTTATTGTAAGAACATGTTAGCAACAACTTCACCAAACTCTTTAGTCATGAACCCAACTTCAATGTTAGTAGAGATGAAAAGCTTCATTCCTTCTTCATATACTTTCGAAACAGAAATCCAGAAGATAAAGCAGGAACTTCTCCAAGGAGATTTAGACTGTTGTGCGAAAGATGAAACAAATGAACAATATCTTTATGAAATGCAGGACCTCATCGACCATCTACCCAAATTGCCTGAAATACAACAACAAAAGCTTACTATTCCTGAATTCGATGAAATAGAAGTGAAACCAACTGACTCGGTAGAAATAAAGAAGTTCATACGAAAGGTAAACTATGAGTTTCTAGGATTTCATTGCAACCACAAAGTCATGGACAAAGATTGCGACATGGTATATAAGAACATCTCTGACATATATAAATCTGAAGAATTTAAGACCTACGACAACTTTGTTTCGTTAGTTGCTGAATGTGTATGGCAGATAAGAGATAAAGATAGAAGAGGTAAAGTATGGAACGAACAAATAAAACCAGCAACTTTTGAATTTAAGAGGACCATTGACGCTATAGTTGTTTTAGCAGGTAAGGTTTCAATGTACAATGCTAAAATGAACCCACAATGTTCTAAATGTAAAGCGGCAATTAGGAAATATAACTACTCCGTCAAAGAGATAGAAAGAATGAGAAACGACTATGCTGACTTAAAGAAAGAAGTAGAGAAACCAGCAGAAGATAAAAAATGGACATGTTAGAATTTCTGAACAAAAACTATCCAACTGCTGACGATTTCCTTCTATCTGATGTCAAGAAGAAATATAAAGAGACTTTCGGCATAGTTTAAAACATTCGATGTACTGACAGAAGAAATCGAAGCTACAAAACTGTTTAGAATTTCAAATATACATCGTACAATTCATGTAAAACGCTTGTGAAAAAAACAGGTGAGAAAAGAGGTGAGAAAACAGGTGAGATCTCACCTCTTCACCTAAAATATATTTTTGGGTCATTTACGCTCATGTTTGACAAAACATTTACACTCATTTCGATGAAGTCATGACAAAACATATACGAAGAAGTTTATTTCCTGTGTTGTTGTCAAAATGTCATGTTGTCACCATTTTCAAAAAGATGTTAGTTGACCGAGGGACCGAGTGACCTGGTGACCCTCATGAAAATTCAAGAGGTGAAAAAAGAGGTGAGAAAAGAGGTGAGATCTAACCTTCTACCCTAAAATATATTTTTGCTGAAAAAATGACCAAATTTCATTATATAACTGTTATTTTTTTACCAAGTGAACTTTAACACTTCGTAAAAAAATCCCTGAAATCATATCTTTTATACATGAAAATCGCAATTTTTTGCGATTTAGACTTTTTTTGGTCTTGCATAAAACTCATGAAAATCGTGAAAAAAATGACCAAATTTCATTATATAACTGTTATTTTTTTACCAAGTGAACTTTAACACTTCGTAAAAAAATCCCTGAAATCATATCTTTTATACATGAAAATCGCAATTTTTTGCGATTTAGACTTTTTTTGGTCTTGCATAAAACTCATGAAAATCGTGAAAAAATGACCAAATTTCATTATATAACTGTTATTTTTTTACCAAGTGAACTTTAACACTTCGTAAAAAAATCCCTGAAATCGTGAAAAAATGACCAAATTTCATGAATTTCCTTAAGATACAAAATAGAAAAAATAAAGTTAGTTTTTTAAAAAAAATATTTTTTATTTTGTATGTAAGAAACAGAAAATGACAAACATTGAGTTTGAAACAGTTAAAAAGATAGACAATGACACCAAAGTGGTTAGAATTGGTGATTTAAACGTAAGATACTCAAAGAAATACAAAAAATATTCTTTGTCAGACATTCTAACACCATCTGGAAAGAGAGCAAAGGACTGGGTTAGAAATGCTTCAACTCAGAAAATTTTGACAAGAAATCCTGAGCTTTTGATATCGGTAAGATTCTATGGAACTACAGCATATCTTATAGACAAAAGTCTTATACCAATAGTTTTGTTATGGTTAGACCCAGTTGTTGGATATAACTTCATAACATATGGTTCATTCGATACTGAACGTTGCAGTGAGGGCTTACTTTACATCGTTCAGAAACCGAAGGACTTCAACACAAAAAGATATAAGATAGGAAGAACATATAATATAACTAAAAGATATGACAGTACAGTCAATAGAGTCAAGGTTGTGTTTGTTAACGATATGAGAGCTGCAGAAACAGAACTACTTGAAAAGTTTGAAAAATGTATGGTGCTCCCACGAAAGGTAAAGAAACGTTTGAAGTAGATGAGATAGATAGTGCTATAAAATTATTTGACGAAGTTGCTGAAAAATACATGTAAAGCGTTTATTTTTACGCTTGACTTCAGATGGCTCAGGTAGCTCTATAAGGTAAATTGTCTTGTCAAATCCTTCCGACATTCCGAGTCCTTCCATCCGACATTCCGAGTCCTTCCTTCCGACATTCCAAGTTCTTCCTTCCGACATTCCAAGTCCTTCCTTCCGACATTCCGAGTCCTTCCTTCCGACATTCCAAGTCCTTCCCGACAACTGGAAAAAAATTTCCTGTTGTTCGTCCGTAAACCATTCAAATTTTCGAAAATTGAGAACTTTTTGGTCAAACTTCAGAAAAAGTTTTTCCTTCCGACAGAAAAAGTTTTTCCTTCCGACAGAAAAAGTTTTTCCTTCCGACATTCCGAGTCCTTCCTTCCGACAGAAAAAGTTCTTCCTTCCGACAGGACACAAACGAATGTCCGACGTACCACCAACCGAGTCCATTCCAAAGCCAGAAGAACCGACAGCCCCAACCCACAACAGACTAAGACTAAACACTTACATTTTTCAAGCTTGACTTTTTACAATTTGAACTTTGTTCGCGTAGATGTGAATTCTGAAAGAAGTATGAGGGTCTTGTATGACTTTGTACTTCTCCCATAGTTCATGTCTGTCAAACTTACCTGCCATGGACTCTTTCATAAGTTCCATGAAATCGTCTTCGGACAATCCGGGGAAAAGTATAATATCAGTAAGTATTCTCTTTACATCCTTACTTAAACTCTTTGCTGTCTGTACACAAATGACAACTGAGATGTTAAAGTGTCTGAGCTTCTTAAGAATTCGACACATGTCTTGTTCTCTGTTCTTTAACAAAGGATGAGAAGCAAAGTCATCTAAGATAAGAAGACATCTATGAGGGTACGTTTTCCAATCGTAAGATTGCAATTTCTTCGAAATGTATTCTATCTCTTTCTGTTTGTTTCTGAAGTGTTTCTTTTCTAATATTCTCTGCATTTCCTCATTTGGGTCTTTAAACTTAGAATTTATATACTCATTTATAGCATTATACTTCAAAACTCTTCTTTGGTACTTCTTTATCCAATCTAACAACTCAGAGTCTTTTATACATACTAACTTAGACTTCTTTATAATATCTTTGAACGAATTGACGGTTTGGTCAAATTGACCAGAAGTACTACAAATAACAACTAACTCATAGAATGGGTTCTTCTCATCTAGTTCTTGTTGTTGTGCAGCCATTTTAAGATAAGTGAAAGTCTTACCCGACCCAGGTGGTGCAATTAGACCTGTTATACCATTCTGAGCAAATAAGAACTTGTCATGTATGGGTTTTATCTGAGCATTTTCTAACTTCCTCTTGTTCTTGTTTAAAACATTCTCAAATTTTTTGTCAATGTCAGCAAACTTTTTTTCTAACATATTTTTAGAAAAATTAAAATTTTTATCTTTTAGAAAATGTCTAGTGATTTCGCCATCTATATTCGAGACAAGCTTTTCGACAGCAAAACATCTGTCGACCATAAAATCTTACATAGTGTAAACAAGAAAGGTGAATTTGTTCTAAAGTTCTGTTTCTGGGAATATGACAAGAACCATAAAACATTAAGCAGAGAAGTCTTAAAATTTGTCAATGACAGACTTGTTGACAGAGATGACGCCTCTTGGAGAGATGAAGTCCAACAAAACTTCTTAGAATGCAAGAAGACACATGCACTGTTCTTGAAGATGAAATAGAAAACAGAATAGAAGAGCTATTAAAGGACAAAGAACTTTTACAAAAATATGGTTCTGAGAAGTTTGACATAACTCCACAGAAAGAAGAAGAGAGAAAAGAAAGAAAAGAAAGTAGAAGAAGAGAAGAAAGAACCTGAACCAGAGCCAGAGAAGAAGAAATTTGACATGTAAAAATAAAATTTTATTTTTTAGAACATTTCTGGTCAATGTCAATGTTCTCTTCCTCTTTAGGAGCAAACACTGGCTTAGACTCTAAAATCTTTTTACCCAATTTACCTTGAACTTCTACAACTTTAGACTCATAATATTCATAGTCGTCTGCTTTCTTGGTTCATAAGGTATAACAAGTTTGTATGCTTTACCTTCTTTCGAGTTTTGAAACCTTCTGTCAAAACTTTCTTTGACTGCTAACAAACCTTCTATGTCTAAGTCTTCAAATTTCGCACCATTTTTAGTCACAATAGCAAACTTAACTGGTTCGATGTTCCAAACTTTGCTGAATGAAGACTTTTCAAAATGGTAGAAGTAAACATTCAAATATGTGAATGGGTCTAGTTCTTCTTTAAGTCCTGACATGTACTTGTTTACTGAGATGAATTTTGTCATCTTTTCTATCGGATAAAAAAATATTTTTTTTTAAAATTTACTCAGAAAAATTTTTCTTTGTATATACACCATTCTGAACATCTAAAAGACTTTTGACATTTGCCAAGAATGTTCGTTTAGACGCTGTCATATAACCATATTCTTGACAATATTGTTTATACGAATCGTACAATGACCTTTCATCTAAACACTCAAAGTCAGTTTCATCTATGAACAGTTCATATACACTCTTGTTTGCTTCTAACAATGTTTGTCTCTCTTCGGTATGTGGAATTTGTCTTGGATTGAACTTTGAAATATCTAATGTCATAAAATATGAAGAACAAGTGGTTGTAAAAGTCAGATGTCAAAGTTTCTGCTAAGTCGTCAAAATATTCTGTATCTTGCATATGAGCTTTCTGACGTTCTGACAACTACATATCTTCTGTCAGAACTTTCTAACTTCATCGGAACAGCATTGTTTTGAAACCATAATGAAATTTACAACATTTTCACAAACTCTTTGGTCTTTATATTTTCTTTCAACAACTCCAACTTTGTCTGTTATAAGACTCTTCAAAGCATCTGAGTTTCAAAACTTTTGTTGTATCTATACTTTGAAGTTCGTTACATACTATAAGTTTCATATTCTCTATTGAAGAGTTAAACTTGCCACAGATGTTTTCTAAGTTTGTCATATTAGGGTTCGAATAACCTTCTAACAGTTTGCACAAAATATCTGTAAAGAATGTGTTCTTACCTGTTCCTTGTTTTCCAATTATAATGAGAGCAGTTTCATTTTTAGCACTTGGATGTTGTAAGATGTTTGCAAACCAACATAAATATATACTCATAGACTCTTTCGTTTCCATTGCATATAATTTCTTTGACATGGTCTAACCAAGCTTCTATAATATTTTCTTTCCATTCTACTTGTTCATATTTATATCCAGTGAAGATAGAATAGAAGTTTGGAGAAGGTGTATAGAACTTTATACCACGAACTGAAAAATCTTCAAGTTTTGACAATAAGATATCCCAAGCATCTAACATCTTCATGCCAACTTGTACAACTTTATTTTCTTAAGTTTCTGTTTACATTCTTGTTCTGAAACTATTGTTGCTCTTGGTTTGTTAAAGACTACATCCCATTCTTTCATAACATAACATTCTGGGCAGAGTCGACATAAATGACTAAACGTTTCAAATTCTCGACTGCTTTGTATAGTCTCTAAATGGACACATATTTCTGAATGTTTGGAAGTCATAAAAATCTGAAACATCTATTCTGTACATTTTTATAAAAATAAAAAAAAATATTTTTTTTATTCTTGAGCTATTTGTTGCATTTGTTGTTCTTGAGCTATTTGTTGTTGAAGTTGTTCTTGTAATACAATACTTTCACCAGTTGCATCTTCCAATTCGAAACTTTCTGCCGTCATTGACAAATACATAGGACATAAAAGTTTTACAGGAACAAAGTTTGCGTCAACTAAGGTTAAGTTTATGTTTGCTAAAGTGTTTGAGTTTACTAAAGCTGAAAACTCTGCATTCGAATGAACAATAGGCAAACCAGCAGAGAAAGTGTTGTTTATACGCATAAGTATCTTTTGGTCATAGTAGTTTCTGTCGACATTCGAATAGCACTTTGAACCTAAGTTTGAAACAATATATAAAATAGGTGTACTTAAAGTCAATGGAACAGACATTCCTTGTATGACACCTTTTCCTGTTATAGGAAACTGTTGGTAGTAAAAACCAGATATAAGTTTTGTATTATAGCTCATATTGTTTATAGTAAACTCAGTCGGACATCCAAACATAATGAAACCTGCTCTAGTTGCAGCACATGTTACACTCGTCCTTAAAGTATTAAATAAGTCAACAAAACCTGTTGGTGGTATATCTGAGTAAGTATCTTCAAAGGAGTATTTTTTACCATTCACAACAATAAAATCTTCTGGTGTCAAAAGAGCAAAACAAGCTTTAGTCGTCATTGTGTTTAAGGTTAGTTTACAATATCGTCCTTGAGGACTTTGTAAGTTTGTTGTTATAGAATTATATGACTCAGGGTTTTTAGTCGTAATAGTATAAACCACTATGTCTTCTGCCATTTTACTTAGCAAATAAACTTTAATGAAATGTTGTGGTCGTCAAATATTTTTATAACGTCTGGGAAACTATATTTTAAGTTCAACGTTTCACCTCCTTTCATAACGTATATCTTGTCAATGACATTATATGAAACACCACAGCAACTAACGTCGGGTTCTATTTCTTTGATGTTTATATCGTCTGCCTCTGTCAAAAGTTTCAATAGTTCTTTCAAAACTTCATGAGGTGCAATGACATATGAGTTCACTTTTACAGGGTTGTGTTCGACCAAGTTTAACATTATACCTAAAGCTTGACAAATCTTCTCCTGAGTTTGAAGTTTGTTTTTCAGTTGTTGGTAGTCATTTCGAATATCTGCAACAGAACTTAAGTCTCTGCTAACTCAGGATATGTTGGGTTCTTTTACAGGAACAATTGTTATACCATCTTCGTCTTCGTATGGTTTCCCCACTTCAACATCTCTTTCTTTGACATTGACAACAACACTTTGACTGTTTGTTTGAGTTGGTGAATTTAACTTCACATCTGCCACCGCCATTAAACCTTTTGAAACACTTACGCTTCTATTTTTCGGAAATGACATTTTACTTCGAATAAAAATATGGACGTATTGAGTATCTCTTCGAATTGAAGCAGAACAAAGTTTACACACACAAACAATACAAATACATTGACAGAATAGTTCTTTATACAAACAATGGAAAATGTTATAGAATAGCAGTCTTTGCTGAACCAAAATATTTTCATAAAGCAAAGAAAGTTGGTATAACTGAAATGGTGAAAGTTCTTGAAGCAGACAAAAATATAACAACAAAACTTACAGATATTTCTAAAGGAAAGTTTATAATACAATTTTATGTCAAAACTGGCGTACTGTCAATATTTGACGGAGAGAAGTCAGTTCAAGAACAACTTACTGACCTGCTGCCAAAATCTGCTCGATGGAAGCTGTCGTTATGCCAATCTGAGGAGCCCCAGCAGGTTTCATCGAACGAATCTTCAAAAGAGCATCTTCCGTGAAAAGTGCTATTGGTTTTGTAAACTTCTTTGCTTTCAATTCATCTGGACCGTCTCTGTCACCAGTATATTGTATTTGAACTGTACCAACAGTTGAAATACCACCCATAAAGTCTTCTGAGTCAGCAAATGGAATGCCAAGCCAAAAGTTTGAACGGTCTCCATTTGTATATTGAGTTTTTTGACCTCCTGTATGAGTCCATACTTTCACATATGGCATAATAGAACTTTGCATTTCAGGGTTAATGGTTGTTGTGAAGTTGTTGTTAAAGTTCATAGCATCTAATGTCAAGTTGTATGACCTCATATCCTCAACTGTAGAATATTCTTCTCTTGGATAATATTTGCCATCTATGTTTATATGATATTTAATACCAGGGTTGTAGAAACAAGAATAGTCATTTATAGTTCGTCTGAACAGTACAAACATAGTATCTGCATGTTTCATTGCAGTTGTTAAAGCAATATCTGTTCTTGCACCTGGGTCAGCACTTTGGTTTCCAACTTCACCTGCAAAGTCTTTGACAGATATTTGGTGTATAGGGAACATAAGTGGAACTGCAATATATTTGGCAGCTAAAGCATTTGAAATATCTGGGTCCAACATATAGACTGCAAGTCTGCTTTCTATTCTCTTGCATTCAAACTTTTCGCATGTGAACTTAACTGGGTCCCAAGCATCTCCAGCAGCATTGAAATAATAGTTTACTTCAGTGTTGAGGTTTGAGAAACCAAAGTCTAAGTCAACTTTGTCTTTGCAAAATTCGGCGAATGGCGTTTTATTTGTTCCCTCTACGTCTGTAAGAGTGAATGGGTCTTGTGTTGGTGCAATGACTAAGTTATTTTTGCTTGGAGTAAGTTCGATAGAAATTTTTCCTGCCCAGTTTGGCAAGTATCTTAAAAACCTGAAGATGAGGAAAGATGACAAAGGAACTCTAAGTTTCAGTTTTACTTTGGTTACTGCTGCTGCAGTTTGTCCAGAAAGGTCAACATAAACTCCTGGAACGTTAGGGTCAAGTCTTCTTATTTTCTCAATAGTTGCATACTGGTCTGTTTGTTCTCTAGCTTGTGGTTGTACTGAGTTTCTCAAAGCGAACCATTCATAGTTTGCCCATGTTACTGTTTGAACTAAGTCAGAGTTAGAATATATCTTATATCCCATGAAAACTTCTGGAGCATATTGGTATCCGACATAGAAAATTCCATTGCAACCTTTCTTGTTAGACAACTTGGCAGAAGGTTTTATTTCAATGTCTTGTTCCACGTATAAGAATGAGTTGTCAATAGAAATTATATGAAACCTGTCGCAAGCAATATCTACTGTTGTTGAAGAACCTTCTCCAAACTCACCTACATTTCCATAAGAAACAGCAGTTGTATATTCGTAAGTTCCAGGAACTATTTCTGACCTTCTAATGGCATTGTCGCATTCGTTATACCATTCGGAAACATTTCCATTCATGGCATCCAAAACTGTTGGCGTTATATTCTGAGCGGCGTACATTTCATATGGGTAAAAATATAGAATAGTTGGATTTATTTGTCATAATAGAACCCACGTGGACCAAGCTTTACTTTCTTCCTGGCTGAGTTTTTAACTCTTCTTTTTCCTTCATTGCCACTACTTTCACTAGATGAAGTTACTTCTTCACTACTTTCACTTTGTTCTACTCTTCTCTTCTTCTTTGGTGTCGCTTTTGGTAACATGCCCTCTGCTTCAAGTTGTTGCATCTTTGCATCATGTTCACCTAGTATGTTGCAAATTTCACGTGTCCTTTTTGCCTTTAGGCTCTGGTCGCCCATCTCAGGTATCCTATATCCTAGAAAGATTTCGTCATAGTTTGTATTTGAGTCTTCGCGTATTGTTTGCATGACTCTTTCCTGAGTTTCCGGTTCAAGCTCTTCAAATATAGCTTGTCCATATGGAATAAACTTGTTTCCAAATATATGTTTTTGTAGCCATTCTGGTTTTCTTTCCATGTTACCAACAATATCTTTTGTGAATGGGAAAGCTTTTACCCAACGTTTCAGTCTTGCGTCATTTATTTCTGTAGTTGGTTTTATTTTGTCAAGGAACATGTTTTTCAATACTAACATTTCATTTGGTACTGTCCATTTGAGTTTTCTTAAATATTCATCCCTTCTCATTTCATCGTCTGCAAAGTAAGTTTTTATGACATTTTGTAAACTTTCGTTTGCAAGGTCATGTACAATAGGTTCTCTTCCTTCTCTCTCCCTAACTCTCTTTCTAAACTCTTCACCAAATATACCATCTCTATGGTTCTGTGTAGTTCTTTGAGATAAATGTTTTAGAACGTCAGGTGTTATATTTCCATCAGCCATGTTCATTTCATACTGGTTCAAAATATCTGCATCTTTCATATCTTTCAATGGCATTAAAGCCGCGCTGAAAATACCAGCTAAATCTGGTTCACCATTCATTTCCATTGCGTCTACAACATCTTGGAATTGTGGTTGTAAGTTTATGAACCACCTATCCGGGTTAGCTTTATGACCCCATCTCATTGTAGTTCCATAGTCTGCAGAAACAAAAGTAGGTTTGTTTCCATATTGGCTAGGTTCTGAATGAACTTTAAACAATGTTTCATTTCTATATGTTTTGTTGAAATTTAACCTTTTATTTTCACCGAGTTCATCCAAAGATTGAACGTTATATGCTCGTAAGTAAAAAGGGTTGTTGTATTTGTGTACACTTTCTTTCAGTACTTCCATTCTATGCTGAATATTTTCATCTGATGTTGGAGTCTTTTGTATGTCGGCAAACATTTTTCGATATTCTTCTACTCCGTCAGCCGAATTTTTCTTAAACTCTTGGAAAGATTCCATATTCACCTCATACTCTTGTTGAGGGTCAAGATTTTTCGGCTGTTCCAAATCTTCATCTGGTTCTGTGAAGTTAGTTTCCAAAGGAGGGACTTGTTCGTTTCCTTCAGGCTCTTCTAGCTGTTTTTGCTGAACTATTTCTTCCATGTCTGGTTGTATCTGAACTTCTTCCTGTGGAGTTTCTTGTACCTCATCTGCTGGCATTTCATATATTCCGAGACCGTTTTTAACAAGTTCCCTCTCTAAGTCATCCGCATACATAACCCTTTCTTCTTTCGTTCCGTCTTTATTTTTTACGCGTTTCATGAAGAGAGTTGAATTGTCATTTAGCTCTGACACCAAATATCTCGGAGTAAATTCAGTCATGTCATTTGGATGATATGCTATTAAATCATATTCCTTAGCGAGTTTGTATTTTCCAGGTTTGAAATTATATCCCATTTGATGCTGAACCATAAAGCTAAATAGGTTCGAGTCAGTATTTCCTTCCTTGAACTTTCTAATAGCTTCTTTATATCTGTCACTAAAGTCAAGAGTATCTGGGTAACCATATTTTCTTTAAGCATTTTTAAGAAATCTTGGTTTCCTTGTTCTCTACTTCTTTTATGTCCTTGCTCTGTTTGTGGTTGTTGCTGTGCAGTGTTTTGAACTGTTGGTTGTGGTGCTGGTTGTGGAGTGGTTGTGTGCTGTTGTTGTGGTGCAGTGTTTTGAACTGTTGGTTTGGTGCAGTGTTTTGAACTGTTGGTTTGGTGCAGGGTTTTGAACTGTTGGTTGTTGTGTTGGTTTTGGTGCAGGGTTTTGAACTGTTGGTTGTGGTTTGTTGGTGCAGGGTTTTGAACTGTTGGTTGTTGTGTTGGTTTTGGTGCAGGGTTTTGAACTGTTGGTTGTTGTGTTGGTTTTGGTGCATGCCTGGTGTCTGTGTCCATGTGACGATGTAAATGTTCTAGGTAGTCCTGGTGCAGGTGCTTCTCTTGGAGGGTTTGGTGGTATATAAGTTCCACTAGCTAGTATATAAGTTCCACCAGCTGGTATATAAGTTCCACCAGCTGGCACATATGTTCCATCTACAGCATAGTGTCCTACCTGACTTTTCGTTTTTAAGAAAGCATTTACTAGGTCTGTTTTGGTCTGTTGTAACTCTTTTCTTTGACTTTCCACAACAGTTGCTCTAACGGCGTCATAGGCACTTTGAACTGCCTGTCTCGTGCTGCATCTGTTATTTTCGTCAGATTTTGTGCTACTTCTCTTAACTCTTTGTCGAAACCTTCAGACTTCAGTTTCTTTCCAGATGAGAAGTCGTTCACTTGTTTCACCTTACTATGAAGAGCTTCGAAGGCGTTCTTAAAGTCAGCATTTGTTAAAGCTTCATTTGAACTGTCTTCATCCGCTTGTATTTTTGTCCTTATTGACCCTATAAGCTGGGCTGCTTTAGCGTTGGCTTGGGCATCTAACCAGTCATTGTTAGCTTTTATATTTCTGCGCTTTTCATTGCCTTTTGCATGGCTGCGTCGTTATTTTTACTTTCTTGTGCTAAGTTTTCATACTGTACGGTTTGGTTTTGCAACTGTAAAAGTTTTTCTGCCTTTACATTTGCTTCAACTTCTTTTTTATACTCATCGCTATCCATATATGTCTTCAGGGCTTTTTGTTTTATCTCTTCATCTTTCAGTACTTTATATTGAGTAGTATGGTTTTTCAAATTTACAACATCTTGTTCCATTTTTGCTACTTCTGCTGCTTTTTCTGACACTTTTTTCGCATATTCCTCTGTACTTAGTTCTTTCAGTTGTTCTTCTTTCTTCTTTTTCTCTACGTTTAACTCATTGAGTTTCTTTGTGTGTCTGTCATATTCTAGTTTCTTTTCGTTTTCACTTATTTGCTTCTGTATGTCTATGTTTGACTTTTTGACATCTGATATTTGATTTTTGAGTGAACTCAAATTCATTTGACTTTGAGGGTTATAGGCTGTTCCGTCTGCAGCTCCACCATAGCCTGCCATTTTCGCTAAAAGTGCCGCTCTTAAACCTCCACTCTGTGCACCAATAACTCGGTTTAAAAGCATAGGATTGCTTGACATTTGTTGCAACATAGTGGGGTCATTCAGCATTTGTTGTTGCAACTGTTGTTGTGGTGTCAGTTTTACTATTGGATGTTTCAATGCTCTCTTCCTCTTACGTATATTCTTACGTAGCTTACGTGGCATTTTAAGTGAAGTTAAAAAGCGGTTTTTGACAGATGTTTATATGACACTTTTTGTTCAGCACAAAAAACTACTCGGTCAAAGTGTTGTCAGTTTTGTAAAATAACCGTCCTATCTCATTCTATAAGGGGGAAAGTCTTCTCAAAGTATACTTCCTTGGAACGCCCGTAACTTTTCCTGTAGCGACGATAGACCCTTACTTGTCCGGACAAAGTTATACTATTTTGAGTGCTCTACAAAAAAAGTCAACGGCGACGACTCTCAAAAACCGTTGTGTAAAAAGTTTTACCGTTGGACAAAAAAGTATATATAGAAAACAAAAAACGTTTATAGTTCATTCAATATTTGAGATGGAACGGTTTGCCAACGGAGACTTTTCAATAAAATAAAAAAATAGAGGGGGTTACCGTTGACAAAAACCGTTTATTTCAAACTCTTATTTGAGTTTATTTTTCATAATGGAAGGAAGAAAAAGTGTCGCAAACAATTCTCAACCGCTAACCAAAGCCAAAGCCCCACAACCTCCAAGAACCGGCACAGCGGTTAGAATAACCACCAAAAAGTCTAACAGCGAATTAAGAGAAATTCTTCAACAAATTTGCTCTAAATATCTCAAAGACGCCGAAGAAAACACACAACCAGACGCTACATACAATACTCAGTTCTGTGAAGTTCTGAACAAAGCAATTGCTAGTTCAATTGAACTTACTAAGACAATTCCAAATCCAATTGAGCTTAGCGATGTCTTAGTTCAGTATTTTCCAACATTTACTAAGCTTATAATGTTGAGAACTTTATACCAAGTTCGTCAAAATCTTCCTCGTAACATCCAACGGTCATTCGACAAGAGCATTGCCGAATTCCAAGTCTTTAGTTACGGATATGACCAAGATGAATACGAGGACGAGTTCGGAGACAACTGTACAAAATGGTTTGAATGTTATACGACAACACAATTTGAATTCGACTTTCTCGAATTCAACGCAGCAACCATTCATATCATTGCTCTTTACCTTTCCGAACAACAACAAGACCTCGCAGATGGAGATGTTGTTACTGTCGTCATGAAAACTCCTGAACAATTCGGAAAAAAGAAGTCTCTAATTGCCAAATTCGTTCCAGGACATCAGCTTTTCCAACGCACAGAAGTCTTCTGTATTCCTGGAACTAAGTTCTTTGTCAGGAGCGAACTCAAAGAAAGATATAATGTGTCATTAAATTACACATTATATAATGTTTTCGACCCAGAAGAAGGCTTCTTCCCAGAAGCAATGGAGGAGGAAGAAGAGGATGAGAAAATACAAGACTCTATCCAAGAAGAGTCCTCCGAATTCACACCAGAAGACTAACAATTTTCCGAATAAAAACTTCATTTATACTAAACATCTTCAGGGCTAGAAGGGGCGCAGCCCCTGGAAGCCCCTCATACCTGACCTCATTATATATGCATTTCGATATGGTTCATCCATAACTCTAAAAATTACAAAATTTAACTGTAAATTAATTTATATTCAATAATCAAAGCATATTAGATGTAAACTATATCTTTTCAATAAGAATCTATTCCATTAGGTGAAGGCAAATCATAATGAATAAAAGTTATAATGCTTGATTTCGTTTATTGCCAATTTAAAAATATTATGAGTTAAACAATGAACATCATATTTACTTCGTTGCGATCATTTTCAATATTACGATGGCAATATCCTTTCTTGACAACAAATAAGGAAATCACAACAATGATAGTTACTAGTACTATAGAAACAACAACTCCGATTATAATCTTATTCCTCTTTCCAATATCTGTTTTGTTTGTTTCTTGATTGTCAGTTTTACCTTCTTGGTTCTTATTACCTGTGTTGGGATTGGCCTTGCTTCGTTGGGCTGTCTGGGATATTGATATTGATAAATTCGTTGTCGTGGCTTTTGATGTTGGAGTTTTTGGAGTTGGTGTCTTTGGTATTGGAGTAGAAACTTCTTCATTATCACAATCAACTGGATAGTGTAGTCATAGGTTTTGGTATTATACTTAACCTGAATATATATTCTTTTTCCAATCAATTTTTGGTAATCAGATTGATACATCTTATTTTCGCCATAATCAGAAAGATTGAACATCGCTCCTCGTTGACTTCCTCCATAATTTCCAGTAGTGTATTTAATAGCACTAATTTTCTTTGAAACCCCATCAATTTTTACCGATATTTTTAATGGTCCTCCTTCTGGTATTCCAGGGGCCCAGAAACTGAATAGCCTGGTGGAGGATATGCCGTGAATAAAAGTTGTTCTTCACTGCTGTATCCCATATTAAAAGTCTTCATTGCAACACAATTTGTTAAACCACTTTGATAATGATATTCTAGAGAGTTATACGCTCCTCCAAATGCTGTTTTTTTGAGACCTCCATAAAACACTCATCTTCTATGTCCTAAATTTTCATTAGTATCCCAAGGATCATGGATAAATTGCTGTACTGCACTGGCAGCATCATATGATCCAAAACCTGCTCCAAGATTTGAACTTGAGCATCCGGCATACGCTGTATTTGTGTAACATGATGTATCCCTGCTTGGTCTATGATTTAATAATCTGTTTTTCACATTGCAGATTGCACATTGTATTTGTTTGTTATCATATTTTGAATAAAGTGTAACACGGATATCAAATCCAACAAGCCATCGCATGTAATTGAGCTCTTTAAGTCCTTTATTATCATCAGATTTTTTATCGTAGCTTAATTGGGTGCAACTTCCTTTATGATCTTGATAAGGCGGTTTTTTATCACGACTATAAATTGTGCTAGTAGCATATGATTTATATCTTCTGCAGACCTCTGCCTTTGTTCTTCATTCAAGCTTATCAAAATGGACATAAATGAGATATAACAACATTAGTATATGTTCTGGAAAGAATTCAATATTTGAATGATTTACAAATTGTTAATAAGATGAAATCATTCCATAACAAATGTTTATTTCAATAATAAATTAATTCTAATCTGCAGATCTTTTTGAATGTGTCGCAAATTCAATTGCCTTATTCTAAACCAAAGATTCACAATACATTTTTAAATTCAGTTTTAAAATCAATTATTTCTGAAAAAATGTTCAGAATTAATAAAAATTTTCAGAACCCACAAAAATTTTTATAAAAAATAATCAACATGAATGAGAATTTAAATTGTAACGCTCGAATAAATATGCTCAGATGACTTCAGTTAATATCATACGCTAATTAATGATGCCATTTGAACAGAAATTTCCACTCCTTCAGAAATTATAAATCACATCCAGAGGATAACTCTGGCTATAAGAAATGTTCATTAGCGTAAAAAAAGACAGTGATCCATTAAACTAACTTTCAAATCATGCATTGAAAAGACAAAGTTTATGGGTAAAAAAACTAAATATCTACTTTTTAAGACTTACTTTTATATTTTAATTGAAAACATTTCAACATTATTTTTTAAATAAAAATCCAATGAAATGGTTAAAAGGGGAAAAAGTTATTTGATAGACTCGGCACCGTGTTCATTTAAAAAATTGACAATTTCTGTTGAATTAGCTTTGACTGCAATACTAAGAGGGCAATCATTAAAAGCGAAAGAATTTCATTAAAAAATGGCAAATATGAAAAGAAAAAGAATGCGATAAAACAATAATCAATATGAAAGGAAAAATAATTTGAATAAACAATGATAAATATGATAAGATAGATAATTTCATAAAACAATAATGAATATGAAAGGAAAAAGAATTTCATTAAATAATGAAAAATATGAAAAGAAAGAGAATTTTATAAAAACATGACAAGTATGAAAAGAAAGAGAATTTCATAAAACAATGATACATGTGAAGAGAAAGAGAGTTTTATAAAACAAAAGAAAACATAATAAGAAAGAAAATCCAATAAAACAATGATTAACATGAAAAGAAAGTAAATTTCATAAAACAATGATATATGTGAAGAGAAAAAGAATAAGTTTCATGTTCACATTAGCACCATGTTCAATTAAGAAAGTTATGATTTCTATCGAATTCGCCTCGATTGCAATAGTAAGAGGGCATTCATTAATATCAAAAGTGCTTCATAATACAATAATCGATATGATAAGAAAGAGAATTTTATATAACAATGATAAATATTAATGCATATAGAATGAAATATAGCATTGATAAATATTAACAGAAATATAATGTAATAAAGCAATGATGAATTTGAAAATAAAGAGAATCCAATAAATCAATGATTAATATGAAAATAAAGAGAATCCAATAAGGCAATTATTAATACGAAAAGAAAAAGAATTACATAAAATAATGATAAGTATGAAAAGACAGAGAATTCTATTTATATTTAAAAATGAAAGATATTAAGGGAAAAAGAATAAATTTCATGTTAACATTAGCCCCATATTCAATTAAACAATTAACAATTTCTATTGATTTCGATTTGATTGCAATACTAAGAGGGTTATCATTAAAATTGATAGAATTTCATATAACAATGTAAAATATGAATGGAAAAAGTATTTTATAATTCAATGATATATTTGAAAAGCAATAGAATTGTATAAATCAATGATTAATCTGAATAGAAATTCAACACAATAAATCAATGATAAACATTAAAAGAAAGAAAATTTCATAATTCAATGATAAATGTGAAGAGAAAGACAATGATATAAAACAATGCCAAATATGAGAAGAAAGAAAATCCATTAAAAATATGATAAATATGAAAATCATGAAAACTCCATAAAACAATGATAAATATGAAATGAAAGAGAACGTCATAAAACAATAATAAATATGAGAAGAAACATAATCCAATAAAACAATGATGAATATGAAAAGAAAGAGAACTCCCTAAAGCAATGATAAATATGAAATGAAAGTGAACGTCGTATAGCAATGATAAATATGAAATGAAAGAGAAGATAAAAAACAAATGATAAATATGAAAATTAAAAGTGTTTTACAAAATTGTGATGAACATGAATAAAAAAAGAATAAACTTCATGTTAACATCAGCACCATATTCAATTAAACATTTGACAATTTCGATTAAATTCGATTTGATTGCAATAATAAGAGGGCTATCATTAAAATCGAGAGAACATCAATGAATAAAAATAAATTTGAATAGTAAAAGAACTTCATATAACAATGATAAATATAAAAAGAAAAAGAATTTTATAAATCAATTACAAATATGAAAAATAAAGAAAATAGTTAGTATACAAGTCTTGGGTATGGTGGCACTGCGTTCCACCTTATCCAATACTTGTGAATTTGACACTTTACAAAACCGTTAACGTATATTTTACAACACAAACACAAACACCAACTTAACCTTAAATATTTATAAAGCCGCCAACAATTTCACCTCACTATCGTTCTCACTAACGACTTCACTAATGTTCTCATAAATTTTCCTCAATATCTTCATCATCAGTGTTAACCCTATTGTAGTCATACTTGAAGCCATAAACTTTCTCTAACTTCTTAACGTACAATTTACATAACTTACCTTCGTCATCGTATGGTTTAATGATATAACTATTTCTATCTTTATAAACAGTCAATGAAAAGTCAACTGGTCTCGGATGTATTTGAAAGAACATGTTATGCTCAGGAAGGAAGAATAAATGTTTAAATGTATGTTTTTTATATGTTTTGATTTGTATGAGTTGCTTTTGTTCTGTCATTGCATCCAAATAAAATAAAAATAATTTTAAAAAATAAAATAAAAAATAAATGATATCACCACCCTCACACGTATGAAAACATAGCACAAAAATAAATTTAGGTGAAGTGGTGAGATCTAACCCGATTTCTACCCTGTTGAATTCATTGCTTTCTCCAACTCTTCTAACTTCTTCTTAAGTTCAGCAATGTTGTCCTCATGAAGTTTAATCTTTCTCAAAATTCCTTCTTTATCTAATGGTTGCTTTATCTTTCTAAACTGAACTCTACCATCCTTCATAGTATGAATGTAAAAACCTTCTGGAATAATTCCTGATTTAATGTATTCTACCAAAAACTTTTGTTTCATTGCTTCAGTGACTTTATTTGTCATTTTACTCTAAGGTGAAGCTAGCACAGCGATAATGGATTTCATGACTTTTTAGTATTTCATGCAATCTTAACAGATAGCCTTACAAGTACTTCCAGTGTCCCTAGCTGTCCCTCCTTAGTTAGTATACATATCTTGGGTACGGCGGCACTGCGTTCCACCTTACCCAACATAACAGTTTGACACTTTACAAAACCGTTAACGTATATTTTACAACACAAACGCAAACGACAACACTAACTTAACCTTAAATATTTACAAAACCACCAACCACTTCACCTCACTAACGTTTTCGCTAACTACTTCACTAATGAAAAAATAAACGTTCTCACTAACGTTCCCACTAATGTTCTCACTTACAAAAGTATTGCAACTCCTCCCATTGCTGTGCTTCACATAACAGCTCATAATCTTCAGTATCGCTGCTGTCACTCCAATCGTCAGAGTCAAAGTCACTGTCAAAATGAATGTTAGTAAGTTTTGACAAAGCTAATGAAACACGTTTACCGTTTGTATCTATTGCTTTTATATATCTCCCATTATGTTTGTTGTCATAAACGCTCAAACTAACTTTACCCTTTCTCCCTCGTATCTGATAGAATGTATTTTCACGAGGAACGAAGAACAAATTCTTGAACTCATGACCGTTGTAGTTTGTTATCTCAATAGTTTTCGTCATTACATCCAAATAAAAATTTTCAGTAAAAATAAAACTAATGTTAAAATTTCTCATAACATAAACGTTCTCATTGCTTTATAACTCTCTTCCTTTCTCCAACTCTTCTAACTTCTTCTTAAGTTCAGCAATGTTGTCCTCATGAAGTTTAATCTTTCTCAAAATTCCTTCTTTATCTAATGGTTGCTTTATCTTTCTAAACTGAACTCTACCATCCTTCATAGTATGAATGTAAAAACCTTCTGGAATAATTCCTGATTTAATGTATTCTACCAAAAACTTTTGTTTCATTGCTTCAGTGACTTTATTTGTCATTTTACTCTAAGGTGAAGCTAGCACAGCGATAATGGATTTCATGACTTTTTAGTATTTCATGCAATCTTAACAGATAGCCTTACAAGTACTTCCAGTGTCCCTAGCTGTCCCTCCTTTTATATAACTCCATGATATTTATAATCTCGCGAAACTTAACAGGTAGCATAACAGATTAAAATCAGATGAGGTTTTGAACCAAAATTTCTAAGCAACGTTGTCAAGGATTTTGAGGAACTAGGGACAGAGTGTGGCAAAGTCCAAGATTTAATTTATCTTCATCTGTTTCATCAACTATCTCATCTAATATGCCAATATTTTATTCATAACTCGTGGCAAACTCACTAACTTTCGTTATGTTCATCTGCATGCTTCATCTGATAGAAAGTATGACTTTCATTAACTCTGTGAGATAATGAAAACTACTAGGGACAGAGACCATGGCAAAGTTTATGACTTTCATTATTTCCAGAACTTAATGAAAACTACTAGGGACAGAGACCATGGCAAAGTTCATGATTTAATTTATTCTCTCACTAACAACAAACACTAACATTAAGTACTAACTTCAGCACAAATGACAAACGCTAACATCAAGTACTAACTCCAACACTAACA